TTCCAAGGAAACTTCTTACTGCGCTATATCACTGAAATAGATTCCATTTCACATGTGGCGCGCATACCCCGCACCCGTATGTGGATGGATTTCGCAACATTGGCATCAAGCCATCGTATTTCAGATTTCGAGGATTGCAATGGTACGCTCGCATTTTGGAAAAGGCTTTTTAGCTAGCTGTAGCAATATGAATAGAACTGCGCTGCGTATTTGAGTTATTTTCGCTGGAAACGGCTTTTCTCCCAGAGTTTTAGACCCATTCCATAGCGCAAATCTCAACGATTTTGATATTATGCCTAATTTTTAAGAAGAACTTCTCATTGTGTTGTTACAGCCAAAAAAATATTGCGCTTTGCACTGGTCGCGCAACGCACGCAACGTGTAGATTGCGCTGCACGGTCGGCACGGCGACGGGTGTGAAACACAACACTCTTTTAACTCTGACAACGCATTAGAATGTCCTTCCAAAAAACAATGCACATCATGGAAATTAATAAGACATGTAGTATCGGATGGTATTTGAAAGTTCGAATGAAAAGCCTGTCCAACGAATAATGGTTATATGTGAAGTAAAATCTTATGTCTTTGCAGTATAATATGAAGTATCACATACTCCGTTGTTTCTCATAAACGGTCATACAGGCGGTTCTGAACCAGTTTGTGACGCAGTGCTTATTGCTCAGGTCGATATACTCAGTTCCTACAATTTTTCTCCAGACTACCGTTTCTTAGGCATCCATTGGCATCGGCTCTTATTGCGTTTCTTATAAAAAAAGTGTTTAAGGTATATTACAATTTGATACTGTTTTTGTTGCAAGGCTCCACCTTCCATGTAACAGACTGTTCTTCGGTAACAATTTACGTTAGCTAATTTTTTGGCCAAGAATGTGATTGATTCAAGTGCACTACAGAGTTTATGTTCCATTATTTCCAGTTTCGTTTTCGATGCAGCTATCCTCGGTGGGTTGTATCTGTAGCCTGAAAATGGAGTCCAGTTTTGTGGCGACCTTGCTTACGAATGCAAATCAATATTACTCTTCCTGCTGCTTAGCTGAAAAGCTTTCCTTTAGAAAATAAGCAAAGAGTTGAAATCAGCAAATATCACGCTATCGAGCGATTATAATAGACAAAAAATAGCTTTTACCTACGGAAAATGTGCGTGTATGAGACACGGCATTATTTCAGATTTTACAGCATTATAAAAGAGTCATCTTGAAACTCAGTTATGTGGCTATGTAGCCAAAGATCTAAGCTTCATAATCATTATCAACACTCCTATGAAGAACACCTATTCAGTGAATGAGATCGGTTCATCATTTATCTCCTATAAGCAATAGGCACCAATGTGTAAGAAAAATAGCTGAAGAATTATTCAATTGATGCTGAGTACAAAGATGAGTTGTTGTTGAACAAGTGGATGAAAACTAGATATAATTGGGATTTGTGTAAATATGAATAAATTGCACAAAAGTGCTCAATAAAGTAAAAGCGGTATCCTTTTCTCAAGGATATGGTTTTGTCGCTGGAAAATATTGCTTTTCAGAAGCCATTGCCATTACTGCTATTGAAAATAGCTCAATTCAAGTCACTTCAAATATTGTATCTTCATGCCACAAGAAAGCCTTTCAACGACAATAAAGACCTCTACTTCAGTAGTGAGCTGCCACATTGTAACTTCAGTTCTCTTGCCATCCAAAATAACACTCTTACCGAAAGGATTAGACATTTTCATTCCACCAATACCACGACACAACCCCCTTCAGATTCACAACGATTCAGGCCTGTTGTACACAGTCGCTGTACACAGTCAGTGTCCATTCATTTAGAATAGCTGTTCATGCCCAGTCAACCATTCTGTTTTGCTTTACACAAAGGTAAAGCATCCAGCACCAGACTGTCTTTCACTAGCTGACATATGGAGAAACGATGTGTTGAGATCCACTTTTACCTTACTTTGCCCTGGAATAGATAATATTCATTCAATTTATTTTACACTACCCGCCATCACGGTTTCGCTATGCGCATCTCAGGACTTCTAGTACCCAATCCTCGTTTTCATTCTTCACAGAGGTACTTGAATACTTTACGTGCTGGATTTTATGTTCTTCATGGATGACGTAGAACGGTGGTCGTGCAAACCTTTTTGGAATCTCGGTAGAGCTCCAGTAAGGGGTTTTGTGAGGCGCTCCTGGGTCTTTTGCAAGAACGTGTTGCGTTAGGGCTCAAGCCTTGAAGCTCTTCTTCCTAATGGTTGGTATCACTATCCACACGCATACAGCCTCTCGGCATAGTTATTACTTTTCTTCTTTTATGATTTATTTCCATCAATTGAAGCTTTGTTTGTAGGCGCATTCAAAATTTCACTATATTATCTTATCTTCAATCTATACTTAGTGTGCAACTAGCGTCTATTGCAATATCTCATTTGATTTAGATTTTCCCATCTAGATCCTCGTTTGTACGAACACACTGCAGTCCACCCGTTTTAACAATGTATTCATGCTCGTACGCTTTGCAAAAGATGGGATGCATTGTAACGAAATTAATTGAGTTATCGTTTTTGTCATTAGAATTGTTAAGCTTTGTCCTAAAGATTTGAACAATGATGAGCCTTTGATTGAGGCAGTGTTTGGCGCTGTTCTAATCCCTGAAACGAATTTCCTAGATTGACTCCTATTGAGAATTGCATGATGGTGTTCTGTAAGGGTGCAACAGGTGAAGTACACTTGCATGGATTGAATCCGTCTTTTGTATTCGATCAAAGGCTAATGATAAGGGCAGCCCGTGAAGGGTTGACAGGAGTTACTTCCAGCAAATGGTTGTTTTGTTAATCCAAATATATGAAAGATCACATTCAGGTCTAAAAGCGGTCCATGTAAGCTGACTGCGGTCACTTTGCCGTCAGAAACATCGATTTCTTGAAGCGTATGATTACGTGCACCACACAAAGAAACTTCACCTCTATAGAAATGTCATTCTGATATCAGATTTATCATAACAAGCAAAATAACAACTTCATACACACGTGAACTAAGACACGCTTTAGCGATTCAATGCTGAGTAGTTAATTATCCGTAATTTCTTGTTTTGACAGATCTCGTTTTTTCAAGATTTAAGAATGATTAGGTTACCTGAACTCATAACACTCAGTTGATCTTATTATCATAACAGGTGATACACTTGTGACAGAAATTGTACTTCCGAATAACAATGACATTTCTCAGACAATTGTCGTTTTACCTTCTGAGTTTCTCTCAATGTTACACCAGCAAACTCACATGTAAACACACCAGCATTTCTCAAAACTTTATACAGGAAACGCGCCTTTTGCCTTCTTTCTTCTGAGGTATTTTCCTCCGGTATGAGTGCGATGTGGTCGCTGCTGAGCATAAACAGTGACGACAAGCAGGCCAAAAAGCTCTTCCTTGAAGAAACGACACATGCCAGCCTCAGTATATAACAACCCATTTTCCTTCTCCTTTTTTTAAATGGTGAATACGATATGGTATTGTCAATCTCACTTAATCATATTCTTTTATATAGGGCGACCGGTACTGTTACCAATAATCTACAGATAATTACCTGTTTTTTTAAACATTTATATCAGTTTTCATACAGTATAATGCATAAAGTGCATAAAGTTCATCATACTGGTCGAAAATTGGAAAGCATTAAATAGTTTGTCAAGGATAGTGCTGCTTAATACATGCAATTCCACCCCTTCTATACTTTATGATTCTGATTGTTTTCTAAATATTGAAACATTCCGGTTTCACATTGTCTAGATCAGTGTGTAATTTCGTTTGAAATTTTTATTCACAGCCATGGTATGTGAGGAGGAGATGGAAGCATAGCGGTTCTTTTCCCTTTTCTATACCCTGATTGAGCCCTATGGTAGAAACGTGTTTTCTGATTTTGTGTGACGTTACGGTAATTATTCGACGCCTAAAACCAAGTGAATTTGAACGGTGTATTTCATTGCTAAATGGCTTTTTTTCGCTGTTACAGTTGAAATAAGATGTTTTTCTGCTTGCTTTCTAGAAATAACTTCATTAAGCGCTGTATCTGTTAGAAGAAAATTAGGTTTCGTAAATTTGATTAATTTTGATGTCAAGATGCCATTCTGACCTCTTGGATAAACGCGTTTTCTGATCTTTTCAAGATCTCTAATAAATGCTTGATAGCTGAAATCTCTATAATTTTGATGGAGTACCTTATATTCAAAATAGCTTCTCAAGTGCGCTTCGGAAATGAAAATAAATGTATCTTTTAGATGATCAAATATAATTCCTTTTTATATATTTAATTCGAGTGTTTTATTAAGACCACGCTCAAATTTCAATATATCTCATGGTTATAATTTGAGCCAACATGTCATGTAATCTGTTAATGGGCTATTGTGCAGCCTAATACACGTGTTTCGACCCTACAGTCTCGTCACTAAGACAGAACCCTTCGTCTTTTAGTCTTTAGACAATACTTTCGGGAGCCCCTACTCTCCCTATAAAGATGTAAGTGACGACGAACGATTTACACTGTTTGTCAAGTGAAATGGTCACCGCATATACAAGGTTATACACTCGACTGCTCTTTGGCTGGTATTTTCATAATATTATATCTATAACTTTTTATTTATATAATTGGTTCAAGCGGTGGTATGATGTTATAGATACTCAGTAATGTAGAGCGATGTGCAAGAGTTTTGCATCAGGCGAGACTCGAATCCACATCTCATTCTGTACGGGAGGGCGTACTCTAACCCACTGCATTACTGACGCCCATTTTTGCCACCACTCTTTCTGCGCAACAACGCATCTATTTGTCATCTACCAGCCGTCAACAACGTGGCCCAGATAGTCCGTTATCGACATTGAACCCAGTCGCGCTAACAGATAGTAGTTTTAATGATCACATGTAATTCCTTTTTTATTGAATGTTCCAATGATATGTGATATGATGTTCCAAATATACCCATTGATGTAGGGTGATGTACAAAATTTTGTATCACTCGGGACTCGAACCCGCATCTCACTCTATGGCGGAGCGTGTGCTCTATCCCGTTGCACTAGTGACGCCCGTTTTGCTCACCAGTCCATCTTTCAGAAATTATTTTCCACACGCAAGCCTTTCTCGCTGAACAAAACTATTTCGCTAGATTTCAAACAATCGTTCGATAGCCTAAATCTCGGCAATTCCCATAGTACCTTTGTTATCGAAGCACTTTAGCACTTTATTTGAACCGTCATCACAGTCTTTTGTTCACTGCGCGGATCCCAGTACATCTAGCAGTCAATTTGCTTTTCTTCTTGAACGGCGTAGAATACTAGGTTATCAAAGAAAATTCCTTATTTTACTCCAGCAATCAACGAAAGACTACATTTTGTAGTAAATCGATAGGATGAAATATCACAATCAATTGGGGCCGATGTCTCAAAATCCCACTAACTAGAATGCGAAACTCAATCTTCTTCTAATTGTTGCAGCCCTCTAAATACTCCTCTCAGAAATCAATTATGTATATGAAGTCTCTGAGATTTACCCTATTGAATGACTAATGAGTGTTTGTAGATAAAATTTTGTACAGTGAGAAATATTCAAATGTGTAACATGGTTTTATTTCGGCTCTTACTGCGCAAAAAACAAGCCATTTGAGAAATAGAATATGTCTTTCAAATTCACTTGATATCATTTATCAAATGAATGCTAACAAATCAACGGAATAGGCTCTTTACAAAAAAAAAAAAAAAAAAACGAAGAGCTCACGAGCGCAATCCTTGAAATCGATTGTATGTAACAGAAATTGTTTTTAGAATTAAGAATTTTTAAGGCGGTTCCATTTTATTATTCTTAGAAATACGTTCACAAAAGTCCTTTCAATGATTGTTTGATTTTTTTTTTGGTGAAAAAGTTTATGAAAGTCAAAATCTAGCCATATAATCTCTAAAGATCGCTATGAAATAGAGAAAATAGGATGCGATTATAGATCGATATCCTTCATTTGCTTGTAGAACGTATAACGAAAATCTTTTCATACAATAAGCTACTATCATGGTCGAAATTTTTCATACTATCGAATGACTGAGAAAAGATCAATAAGGTAAGAGAAAATGTTCAGTAACAGCCAGAAATATATTCGTTTTCGCAAGAATTGGTTTTTCTTCTAAGAAAAGCGCGATTCTGGGATTAAGCTAGCTAAAAATATTCATACGGAAGTCTCATCAGTGACATTTTATCGTTCTTTAATCATCATGTCTTTCTGAGAGCTTAATTACGAATTTGTGGAGTACGCGCCAATCTTCGTAAGTGTGCGGACGGCGTGCCCAGCTGAGGGTGATAATGACCCTTTTAGTTCGCGAAAGGATTTACTAAAAGTTTAATCGCGAGAAAATTTTATTATTACGAATAAGTGGATATTGTTAGAACATTTACAATCGTACTTCTAGTAGTAAAACACTTCCAATTATGCTTAAAGATCCTACTATTCAATACGAAAGTTACGCTCTTGCTATAGCAATGAATTTCCCAACTCTATTCATATTTCTTTCGTCGACACTATGAGGAAGTATTTGGAAATAATATTCTTCCCATACTATGACACCTAGAAGGAACTCATGTGGAGGACTTTCTGGTATCTAATGGGATTAGGCCTTAATTGAGTTTGTATTTTCTCACCCAAACTTTCAGGACATATCACTGATGTTGTAGATTTTCTGCTTGTAAGGAATCTCTATTAAAATATAAAACCAACGAGGAGAAGAAATTTCCTACACATAGGAGCTGTGGGCCCTTTATTTGAACTTCGCAACGAGTTTTGTTTGCAATTATACAGTAAAATTTGGACGCTCGGCACTTCACCGCCTCAAAAAGTAGCAGTTATCAATGAAATATCTTTAGGTGTTTTTAGTAAGAAGAAAGCACTTGCGTCCTAACGATCGGTGCCTTCCAATATAAAATGGCATCCTTTGGAAATGAACATATTTCTTGCTCTTTTTGTTCATTTTTGCCACCTACCTCGTCAAGATAAGGCCGTCTTTTCCTACTCATCAACCTCCTATAGCGACAGATATGTTTCTTCTGTAATTCACTCTCAAATAGTTGACATGTGAAGCTCGTAGAAGTCGACTGGATTTTGGCACCTGCTCCTTACAGATTCTTGAACATCTCCCGTTGTCATCAAAGAGTAGAGCTGAATTCTGTGCGACGAATTCTTCTTTGATTGCTCATCAATAATATCCTTAACACTGCCCTCTTGATATGAACGGGAACAATACAGTGCGAAATATTGACTGAAATTTCAAAGGTTTCATCGAGTTGAAGGTCAAACTAATTCGCAATTTCCTGAATCGACTACTTCCGAAAATTGCACCTTCACAATCAGTGAATACTGAATGACAACGCTGAACAAACGCGATTATTGCAGTACTTGCTTGTTTGCCTAAAAAACTCTCGTGGCTTTCTGCACTACATTAAATAAAATGCGAAAATCTCTGTTTATTTGGCTATTCACGCTGCGCTCAGCATCTCCTTTGTCGTCCCGAGTGGGTTAACACGTTGACCTATTTCAAATGTTGAAAATGAATGACTCGCTGAGTACATTCTGACCTGCAAGAATAACGGATCATCTACAGCATACGTTGATCCAAGCTTGGCTATACTGAGATGAAGCACCATAGCTCTCGAAAGTCTTTTTTGCGTCCGAGCAGAAGTTTCCCCATAACACATGCTATATCGTGTCTTTCTCGATAAGAAAATATACCTGAAACTTTACAAAATACGAGATTTGAAAAAAATTTTCATTCGGCCATGAAGATTGTTACTGTTTTTGTTGTTCAAAATGTCCCAACTGGCTGCAAAAGTTCAAATTCACAACTCTCGTTTTGTTCTCTTCCCTATTATATAGACCTACATAGAGATGTAGAGTGATGCGCAAAACTTTCGCTTCAGGCGGGATTCCAACCCGCACCTCACTTTATCCGGAGGGGGGGGGGGGGCTTCAACCTGTTGCACTGCTGGCGCCCTTTTCACCCGCCTCTCTTTCTACGCTACAACGCATCTATCTGCCAGCACCCATCTGTTAACGATTTGGCTCAAATAGTCAAAATCGATGCCGACTACTTGGGCTAAACGTTGACAAGTTAGAGCTCGCGTGATCCAATTAAGTAACACAGGTTTGAGTCCCGCTTGACGCAAAAATTTTGCACATTGCTCTACATCACTGTGTATATCTTTGACTTCATACCGGAGCTAAAAGCGATCAAGTGAAAAAAGTTTGGTTTACTTTAGACCGTGTACGCAGTTTCGATGAGATTTGCGCGGTACCAGTTAGGTTAAAAAAAATTAGGTGTTCTGATTGTGTTGAGAATGTGTGGTAACTACTGGTAATTCACAACAACTGCAGTCTTTGGTGTTCTGGTGAAACTGTCACTGCAGACAATGGCTGTGAATAGAACGAAAAACACATTGAGATACTGAGGTTGCTAAGCTTGGTTCTGTAACAGATCAGGCAGTTTAGTATAAGTATGGGAAGTGAAGCCAAATAAGCAGTGAAGGTACGTCCGAGCCACCCGTTACAATTCCTGAATCCTGATTAACAAGTGAAGGCATCTTAAAACAAACTGAAGCATTGTCTCCAGCTTCTTTTCGATGTATAATGTCAGGCTCTGACGAGGTGGTCGCGACTGGGAAAACGAAAATAAGTAACTAACATACCAAATCCCAAAAAGGCTAGAAACAGTCTTCCACTACCCATCGAAGTTCTACAACGAGGCTTCTGAAAATAGCCGACTGAATACATCTTGAAGTAAATTCATTTATCAGGAAACAGCAGGTTGAATGGTAATGCTTGAGACCATGCATCAGCAGAAGCGTAATTAATAAATTTGTCACCTCTTATATCCATAATTTCATAATACCGTAATTAACAAACATGCTCAATGTTGCTAGGAATGGATATTTGCAAACGCCTTAACTTTTAATATTGGAATTGTTTCTCGGTCGATGCGTATTATTCATGAATAGACATCGACAACTTTGTGAAGTCTTGCATGAATTTGTCAATTTCACTTATAGGTTTGAATATTTGCCACATATTTGATAAGAAAAAGGAAGAGTGCCATTTGGCTCTTGTCCTTATAGTCAAAGCAAAAGCCAAGAAGAAACATCAGCGAATTGCGTAATGAGAAATGATTCAGCTTCAAGAAAACGTCATAATATGGTGGACAACATCTTATTCATAGCTTGAATTCCGACAGTTCAGTTCAGCACGTCGTCCTCATTTCCATGAATGAAAAGGTTAGGTATCTTCCACCACCCCCTCTATGCAAAAGGGTTGAATACGAGACTTGAGAAGTGTTAAATGGCATATAAGTGACTCTTAGTCAGTGTTACATGAAAGGTCAACCCAAACTAAGAGAATAAGGCTTAAGAATTGTTCAAACATGCAGTACGAAAAGTCACATGAGTATTAACTACTACGTCGATATGCGGAAATATCTAGACATTATTTGTATTCAATCTACGGTCAAGTACGCACTTTCAAATGACTGACTTGTGTAAGGCTACCTGGAAGACTTATATCCTCATACTAAAACTATCTCTCTATGCATCGTTTATAAGAAAAATGAACTTATCCGAAATTTTTTTTATAAATAATTCAGGGCGCAGAACGCCGCAGGCTCTCATCAACCTCTCGAATCTAATTTCAACTAGTATTGATTAATGTACAAAGTCCGTTGAAAATTTCTGGAATCCACTAAACGTTTTTCAAACATCAGTAATATTTCACCATTCAGAATTTATGGCGGTGTCCTGCAAACAGTAGAGAGTACCGGGTTTCAATAATCAGTCAGAATTCATTTTATTTGACTGCGTATTGCGGTTTCATGATGCCACAATTAACTCAATAATGTGGAGTGGTGTGCGAAAGGGCTTGCGTCAGCGGGGATTCGGACCCAGATCTCACTCTTTTCGAGAGAGCGTGCTGACCGTTGCACTACCGACGCACGCTTTTGCACACCGCTCTTTCTACTCTACAACGCGTTATCTTTTAACAGCCAACCTCTGCGGTGTGGCGTGG